TTCACTGAACCGGATTTCCCCCACAGGGCGCTGGGGTGCAGGTCCACCAGCATGGTGGTGACTAACGGTTTGTGACTGCTTGTTGTGTGCCGAATCCAGGAGCTTCGTGTGCATTAATTCGTTTAACTCTCACTTTTCTATTAGCTGCTGCTGCTCTCTTACACGTGAGGAAACTGAGGCACAGAGTGGTTGGAGGATTGGCCCAAGGTCGCGTGGCTGATAGTTGGGTTATCAGGATTTGAATCCAGGTAGACTGACCCAGTGTCCACACTCTTAGGAGTTTACCTTCCGTCGAATGCGACCTTGTTCGTTGGGCACTCCCCACGCTCCAAAGCAGCTAAGATGAAAGAGGAAAGGAAAATAGTAAAGTGTGATGGAACTTGCTTTAGATTTTGTCACGAAGAGTAGAGGCCTTTGATTTACTAATTGCCTTGTTTCTTGGCTCATTCATTGGTTTTCGGCCGCAGTGGGATGTCCTTCCTGCTGCCTTCTCTCTGCTTCCGGTTGGCTTCCTCTTTCCTCCACTGAAAGTCCGTCTTCCTTGGGGCAGGCACTCTCAGGCTCATGGGACCACCAAGAAACCAGCTGTTCTTTAGGGACCACCAAGAAACCAGCACCATGACCTGCAAATCATTCTATGGGCAAAAAAGTTAATTTAAATAAATAAGCTGGGAACCAAAATGGTGCAAATTCCACAGCTTCTAAACAGTGTCCTGTAAGCAACTAGTTCTAGGAAGCCAACAGAATGGTAAAAATCCAGCAAGTGCCCTCAGCTCTGTGCTGTGAGTACTAGGGCCTTGGCTTCTTCTTCGGTAGCCCCGAGCCACAGAGCATCTTCGTGTACCAGGGATCAAGTGACCCTGGATCAAGATGGAATGAAGAAGAATTTCGATATTTGCTTGGAGTGGGCAGGCCTGCAGCAGGTCAGATCAGTTGATATGATGACGATGATGATGATGATACCTGCAGAGTCTTGCTGATGGCATCCCCTATTCAAAGCGTTTCACATATATGAATCATTAATTGTGCATCAATGCCATTATATAGTTACAATTCTTATCCCCATTTCACAGTTGAGAAATTCCACTCTGTTAAATGTGTGTGTATATCGTAATTTGAGGAACATTAATATAAAAAAAACGCATCTTAGAATCAAGGGCGTATGGTGCTTGGCTCGTGGGTTGGTGGTGCCAGTATTTGGCTGCTCTGCAGGACAGATGCTTCCTTATTAGCTGGGCCTTGGAAATTAGCTGAAATGTGAGGGGCCATACTACAGCCTGCATTTATCGAGTTAATACTGTACGTCAGACAGTACTCTAAGAACTTGGCATGAGTTTTTTAATCCTCACGAAAAGATAGGTACTCTGGTGATGGCTATGCCTGAGTTATAGATAGGGAAATTAAGTCGAACGGATAACATAACTTGCCCAAGGCCACCCAGTCAGTATGTGGCAAGCCCAAATGCCAGCTGAGGCTGCTGGGCTCTTCACCACAGTCTCCTCTGCCTCTGAACTAAGGCTCCTGGTACAGCTAGGAAAGGATAATGACATAGGGAATGGACACAATCATAGGGCTCTGTGTGAGAGGCTCTGGTCCCTCTCAGATTCCCTTGTCCAAGTGACTTGTCACTCCCTCTTGGCCTCCACCTTGGTGTGGAATTGGAGGTTGATTTTTTTGTCCGTTTGTTCGTATCCGAGATCACCCCAGTAGTGAAGGAAATGGAGACGAGCTCTGATATGAGCATAAAAATAACCTGGGAAGGCATTCACTGGGTCTTGCAGGCACATTTCTGTTCCACCTCACAGCAACCTTGTGAGGTTCATACTGCATGGTCATGTTCCTGTTGCAAAGGGGAAAACTGCAGCCCAGTGAGGGTGAGCCACATATCCTTGGTCACACAGCAGGGGTGGGGCAGAGCTGGGCTCTGGCCATGGGTCTGTCGGGGGGGGGT